TAAAAAAATTGCAAATGATAATAAAAGTGGTAGATGAAGAGGAAAATGAATGAAAATTGTGAATAATAAAGATAATTGATGAATGAATGTGATAGATGAAAAGATAAAGTTAACTTAACATGAAAGATTAAAGGTTTAAATCTATCTATATTTATATATTATATAAATTATTACCTTATTCATTTAATAGGGTGTGCATTTAATTAATTCAAAAAATAAAAAAGAGTGCGAGAAATCTACTAAATGATAATTTTAAATGATAATGAAAGTGGTAGATGAGGAGGCAAAGTTAGATTAACATATTCTGGTCAAATTTTAAGTTTTGGAGTCACAAATTCTTAACAAAATGTTAAATGTTTCATTCAGATAAAAATTTAATAAAACTCATCATAGATTGAAGTTAAAGTTGAAGTTGAATCCACAACCTTAAATTTATGCCTAAGTCATGTTAACAATTTTATGCAAAGAGACTTATAATAATAATTTTATCTAATGAAAGAAATCTATATAAAAAGAAAAACTTAGTGGGGACAAAAATCAAAATTGTATGTAAGTAGTATCTAAAGAGAAAATGACACTTTCTGGCCAAGAAAAGGAGAAAGTTTTACATTGTAGTCCTTAATTGTGAATTTGGTAAGTCTGAAACCTTATCTGACCCTTACGCCATTTTTGAACGCCACACATTTTTCAACCGCAGCGGTATCTATTAATAAAGCGGGAAAAAAGTGTACACGTGAGATGTTGTCATTGGCTAGAGATATTACGCTTTTTTTTTTCTTTCTTTTTTTTTGAATTGGGAGAACTTGGGGATAAGGGAGTAAGTGCTTGAGTTTGAATTTAGGACTTTGATGTCTTTCACCGCTCCTCTTAGAAGGATAACCACTAAATCAATCAGTAATAGACAAAGATATTATACTTAGTGGTATTCTCAAAATTCAGCAAACTTCCTCGAATTGTAGCCTTGTATTAGAGAAATTTCTATTAAATTATTATGAACAATTCCACAAAATATGCCCAAAAAATACAGGTATCAGATAAAGAAAAAATTACAAAAAAGAAAAAATCCTGGGCCATGGTCCATAATAACTAAAGCAAAAACTAGATTGGAAATCAATTGTAGTACCTCTTCATGGACCCAACCCATGCAGCATGTATAGAAGGCCCAACTTCTTCGTATTGGATATGAGGGCCTTCACCTTTATTTCATCATCTATAAAAACAAAATAAATAAATAAATAAATTTGAAATAAAATTAATTGATAAATCAAAATAATTAATTAAATAAAAATGGAAAGTTCAAAAATTACTTGTACGGCTATCTCCCGTCCTGACATCTTTCAGCATCTAGAACAGTGTGAGTGGTGATTTCTTAATTTTTGAACAACTTGAATCCTAGTATAT